ACTTGATTTTTAAAGTTTCAAATACTTGTGATGTTATTTAATTGAATGTGTTTTTTTATAAAATTTTGAAAATTGTTGGAATTATTTTGTCAGATGAACATGTTGGTCACATGTTATAGGGTATCAACCTAAGCATATGCCCTACATTCTCTACCCTATTGCATCTTATGAGAAAAAGATAAATTGTACATTTTAAAGTTTTCCACCCTAAGCATATGTCATACATTCGCTACCCTGGTTTTCCACCCTAAGCATATGTCATACGTTCGCTACCCTAAGGTCCTCCTTTTTTGTTTTTTACATACTAAGAATGCAGTAAGTAAGATAATAATAGCAATGTCATATATATAAACAAAGTACATATAATCAGAATGTAGAAAATAAGCAAGTAATAAACATACATGTAGCTTCCGATGCTATTTCAAGTGGTTGTTACTCAGATTTGTCGTCGTTGATTGTGACATCCATTGTTCAACGTCCCACCTATCACGATAGCCACTGTTATGTGACATAATGCCTTTTATCACTAAGCTTTACATCTGCACTAGCTTTACTAGTAGTAGTTTCCAAATTAAAGTTTTCCTTCGCAACATAACATATATCATTCGAGCTATAGTTGTCCACAACATTGTAATTTCCACTTTCAGCTTCCCATTGCAATATAACTAGAAGTGTTTCCATTCCCCCACAAGAAATAAAAGAATGATAAAAAACTTGAGCACTGGTTGCACTAGGCTGTACTATTAACCTGTAGATCAGACGTGATACTCTAGCAAACTGATTACGTTGCAGGCAAACAACCAAGAAACCAACCAAACAATAAATGTCTTCATTTGCCATGTAAGCGGGTGCAGCTCAGATTAAAAGCTCGCTCAAAACAAGGAGTTCATCAACCAGAGAGTTTACTTCGCCAACAGGCAGTGGTCCCCCGAGAAATGAAAATGTATCAATAGAATCATTTTCAGGGATGACCCAAAAGCATCCTCTGCATCCATCAAGTAGAACTTGCAAGGTACAATCATCCCTCAGAGCTGGTGATTCTATTAATACAATGTCGGAGAGCTTCACTTTTAATGGATTATTACGTTTCTGATGTTGACATAAGGTCGTCCTCACTTAATCGAACAAGCTTTCCAAGATCAGGATTAGACAGTGTTTTTAACATGTGCTGGAAAATCCTTGATAAAAGTGCCGGTGCACTTATTTGGCACAAGTCCTCATTATTTCTAGGACGCTGAATATCTATGGAGATAATTCTGATAATTGTGGTAGAAAGGGAATAAGTTGCAAGTGCTAAAGAAGGATCACCAAGCTTGGGTTCCAGACTGTCCATTCGCACATCTCTAACTATCAATGGAATTAAAGCCATCGAGACACAATAGACCAAGACCCATAGGAATACATTGGATGCGCTCTAGTAATAGCATTAACTTGCCAATGACCTCTGCATGCTGTCGTTGTATACCTCCACTATCAGCTTCAAAGGCAGAGATTTCTTCAGCTAGGCTTTTTACGTGCTCATTTACTGCTAATCATGGTAAGCATGCACCTTTTCCAAAAGATAGCAAAGCATCTCCTCCTCCAGAAGCTAATCAACTCATTACATCGAAAAAGTATTACATCCGTATTCAGAAGCAAAATTTTTGTTTTTGCGTCGCTGCAAACCAGGTAATGTTGGGGGGAGGATTTGTTCCAATGCTGCAGAAAGAAAGAGGCTTTGATGTCCTTGGAAGTTCAAAAGGTCGAGTCTCTTGCAATCTCTCGTCAACATATAATCTCACCTCACTCTCTGCTTTGCCAAGCAAATTCTGTTTATGGCTGTGCTGGAGCCCAATAGAGTAACAGTTCTAAGGTTTGAATTCATAACTGAAACAAATGAAAGTCTTCTTCCCCATCCCAATGCCAACTTTCACAACCAAGAATTATTCATAAAAATATGCCTCTACCCACTGGTTATCCGCAGATATATCCTAGGAGTTCGCGCAGAAACTTGGCCGGTAATCTGGCCAGATGCTGATGCTCCAGCTACTGCGATACAGAATACGATTTGCCCAAAAGGACGGCTGATGAAGCCGTAGTGGTGCTTGTGGGAGGGTCAGCAACCACCTCTTCGAACAACTTCAAACAAATCCAAGACACGAAAACATAACCATTGGAGAGCTGTCAGTGATTCTCACCAGGAGCAAGCAAGCCAGAATTCTGGCCATCAAACTCAAAGGAACTGGCCGGACCCCTCGTCTGCTCACTCCCCATAGCATTCTCTAAAGACAGCATCAACGGCGCTGCCCACTCTATGACTTTGCATTTTTAATCAATTTAAGCCAGCGCTCGAGATCCATAACGCTCAAAGAGCACCCACCAAGAACCTGAATGCAGTAAAGCCAGGCATTCCGAACCGAAAGAATCTTCTCCGCTAAATCCAAGAGGAATCTAAGTACCCCGATAGACCAGCAGAGCGCACGGTTTGTGGTGCAAGCATTCAGAATCCAAAACAAACCCTTCGCCTTCCTCGTCCTCGGCGACATAGAAATTTCTGAATCACCTTCACAGTGTAGCCAGGGGATAAGCTCCGCAGCCACAGCGTGAAGTAAGCATTGCCCTCGGTGTCGATTCCTTGAACCCAACACCATCCATTTCATCTAGGCCTTCCACCCCGACATGGAGGCGAGCAGCGCATCCACCAAGAAACTCGAAAATCCAACGAATCAGCACCTGAGACCATCGCTTTCAGTTTCTCCATGCGATCCAAGCTCCCCATGATGACAGAATTCTTAACCCATTAGAATATTTAATTATGAGTAAAGTATCAAAATAATTTCCCGATAATTTATAAGTGATTATTTTTTAGTCTCAAAATTTATAAAAATATTAAAACAATTTTAATTTAAAAAATGAGTTCTATTCAGCTTCAATTTAAACTGTCTGATGACCATTTTAACATTTTTTATAAACTAACTAAAATGGCCTCATGTATATAGTGGAAAACTATTTTTTTCTCTGTCTATAAAAAATTTAATAGATTCATTTATATATGATTGTTATTTAGTGTGATTTGATTGTTTGGAATTATTGTTTGATACAATTAAATAGTTGGCACCATTTCAATCAAAACCAATAATGCCACATAGGGCTGTCAATTTGGCTCGTTGTTCGTGAACAGCTCGTGTTCGGCTCGTTAAGCAGCTCGTGT